TGTGTGTATGTGTGTTTATTCGAATAACCCTGCACAGCCTGCCAGAGAAGAATCATTTGTTGAAGTTGTTTAATGATTAATTATGCCAGGCAGAAATACATGCTCACGCACTCTGTCACAACTGCACTGCAAGACATTCCTTTTGAGGAAGGATGGATTTCTTGTACATATGGTCTGCGATACTCTCAGGTGAATACAAAGTTTCTTGAATTTCCGCATAAGAAATGGAATGTCTTAGTGGAAAGTGGTATGCGTGGTAGAACCTGCTTGAATTGAAGGGTCTAGAAATATAGGCAGTGCCATAGAGGGAAGTATCTTGTAAAAGGCTGCATGCAGAAGTGGTGGCGAAGATGGAAGCAGAGCCAGGTCTCTAAAAGATTAGGTCAGTATATCCTCCTCCATATTACCCTTTCCACCAGGCAGAGAGAAGGAACAGGCTGTCATGGTATGCCAGTTAAGGACATGTCAGACTATCTCTCTGTTCAGTAGAGGCTGTCTTGGGTGGCAGAGCCCGCTTGTTCCCTTACCTGGTTCCCAGCAAGAGAAGTGCTAAACCACTAAGAGTCCTCATTCCTCCAGTCAGTTAGAACTGAACAGATACAAGGTTGTCTTTGTCTTCTCTCTCCAGTAAGTCTCCAGAGCAAGTACAGACAGAATGCTGCTTACTTTGCATTTTTGTATCAACATCAACAAGAACCATAGTTTCTTTACTGTGATTCCATTTACATTATGAAGACTAAAGGTATTGAAACTCTGGAGACTCTAAATGGTTTGAAAGCAACTCTGAGTCTTTCAAGGACAGATAAAGGTTGCTCAAAGAACAAGTGCAAATCTTGGTTATTAGGTTTTATGAAGATGAGGCTGTTTTTACCCTTCCTGCATCAACTGGGATGCTTCAGCATTTACCACAGACAATGCTGGAGGCCTCCAATGTTGAAGACTGTCACAAAACTGTTCAAGATCGCCTCAGAAGGGAGCCCTTCAAGACAGCATCTTCCCTGTTTGCCTGTGCAAAGTTAGTAGATCCAGGCCCATTCACCCTGACAGTAGAAAGCAAGCATTGTCACTTTTACCCCAGCTATTTACTCAAGCAGAAAACAAAACAGTACAGTTGGGAGAAGGTTGGAAAGAGCTGTCACAGAACAAGTGCACCATGCCAGTAATTTGAAGGATTAAGGATCCCAAGCCACACATACTGAGACAATAGCTGGGGCCATCCTGTTCGCTGGGCCCATGGATTAGAGGGATGGTTCATATGATTCTGGTTTTCTTTTCAACTCTGACTGAACAAACATAGCTTGTGTGCTCGTAAATCCTCTGTTAGCAATGCAAAATACAATACAGTTTCCATTTCACTGCACTCTATGATTTTGCCTTTGGAAAATGTTGCAGCTGTTCTGTCTGGATGCCTTCATGGAATCAGCGCAACTTTGTGTCCGGTTTGAGCAGTGTAATGCTGAGTGGGAGGCCTGGCACTGGTGTACCCACATTGAGGCTGTGACACCAAGAGGGATCCTGTCCAGTTCCCATGTCACCCTGCTTAGGACATCCCCATTCCACCATCTTGCAGCAGTGGGCTGAAGAGAGCTGACATGTGCCTTCTCCTGCATACCTCAGAGGCACAGTTTGGGGAATTTTGTGGTCAATGTAATAAACCACCGTTTTCATGAAAATGATCACAGAAGTCTCACAGACTTCAATAACTTAGGAGTATCTGTGCCTACATATTTATTACATCTGAATATATGTCACTGTGAATGTGCGATTTTACATCTTTTGTATCGCAGCTCCTGCAACCTGTATGTGGACTCAAACACTAGCTGATTCTTGAATGGTCACACTTATCAATTTTTTTTTTTTTAGTTCATGGTTCAAAATTTGAGTGTAAAGGGGAAAATAACGCAATTGTGTATTGTAGCCAAAGTCTTCCCAGTAAGAAAGATTCTGATCTTCTTCTGATTGCTTTTTGTCTGCGTTGCCCTGTAATCCATTTATCTCTGTTTTCTCATACCAGCCATTTAGCCATTACATTTATCTTGTTTCTGTGAGGGTATTTAGATTAGCATTAAAATTCCAGAGCTCCTGGGTAATGTCTCAGGGTTGCAAGTGTGGTGCAGGCTATGTGTTAGCACATAGAACAAAGCCTTAGATGCCTGCCTGTTGTTATCACTGGGAAGGCCATTAGGTGCTTGGTGATGGCACCTTTGCTCTCTCTGGCTCCTCGTGGGAGGAGATGGATTCACTTCCCAATGACACAACTGGCCCTGTGACATATCTGCTCTCTCTCATGCTCTTCTCTCCCTGTGCCATCTGGGAAATGGTAACACAGCAGCCAGCCCTGTGCCTTCTTTAAAGCAGCAGGTGCACAGGTGGGAAGGCATCTCCAAGATGGGACATTCCAGGTGACAAGTATTTGTAGCTTCCAAAGCTCTTAAGAGATGGGCATCTGTGAAGTCACCTTTACAGTTTTACAGTGGTACTGTGCAAAGCCCTCTCCTGTTCTTCAGGAAACTCTGGCTTCTCACAGCCTGTGGTTGGTTTTTATCTGTATGAACTAAATGGTACAGGCTTGTTTTTGAGGCATTTTTGATGGATGTCTGCTCTAATTTAGGTGGGTGTTCAGAGAAGCTCAACAGGCTTTGAGTGTTGGGCTGTATATTTAAGTATGCTTTCACTTGCAGTCCTGCTTTCTCTGTGCTCTGACTTCCAGTTGCTTGCTGCTGGAGGTGGGACACCTGGTGCCATTCCTCAGATATTGGTGCTCAGCTTAAACCACAGTGGTGTCTGCCTCTGCTGCAAGCAGGAAGGAGTCATTTGTGCATTCCTTGGGATCCCATCAAGTCTGTGTACTGATGCAGAATGTCCAGAAAGCAGGTGTATAATCTTCCTAAGGATAGTAGAGGTGTCCATGAACAGTGCAGACGCAACAAGGCCCAGAACTTCTTGCCCTGAGGGGTGCTAATGAGGCAGTAGTGTACTGCAGCTTCATTCCGTGTCTCCAGTGTATATGATGCACAGACTTGTTATGCTTAGCACCTATCTGCCCTCTTTGAGTAGCACCAGAGGAGGTTCAGGTTGGATATTAGGTGGAATTTCTTCTCAGAGTGGCAATGCACTGGCACAGGCTGCCCAGGAAGGTGGTGGAGTCACTGTCCCTGGGGGTGTTCAAGAATAGGGCAGATGGAGCACAGAAGGACATGGTTAGTGGGCACAGTGGGGGGTGGGTTGATGTTGGACTAGATGATCTTAGTGGTTTCCAATCTTAATGACTCAACAATTCGATGATTCCCTGCACACAAGCCTGTAACAAAGAAGATATTCTAATTCAGCACTGACATTCCTGGCTCCAGGGACCAACTAGTACACTTCCAATCCACCTGAAGCCCTTGAGCTAGTCCCTAGAGGCATCATTTCTGAACAGGCAAACAGACCTCACAAAAACTGCCCTGGGCAGTCAGGAGGGATGAGCACTACCATCCACTTGGCTGCTGCCTGCCTTACACTCACCCTGGGCTCTGCCTCTTCTGTGTGCATATGGACATGTGTGCACCCTCACACACGTTCTGCACTTCGGTGAGTCTCTAAATTGAAACTGAGTGCTTCAGGTATTAGGTCAATCCCTGGCCTTTGAATTATCTTCCCAGACTGCTGTTCTTGCAGCACAGGGTGTCCTTTGCAAGGGAGAGGGAGGAATCAGTGGGTAAAATCTCAACAGTTTTTTCTCCTGGATGACATTCAGCCTGGGTAAGGTGAGGGCTCGTGCCTAAGTGGGTTTGGCAGGGTGCCGTAGTTTGTATTGCCCTTCTTGCATTGGGTGAGAGAAGCAGACAGGTGTGGCAGGAGCTCTTGCCCCACTGTTTGTTTTCTCCTCAGGCCAGGTTTCAGCTCTGAGATTTCCTGGCTGGCTGATTGCTCTGCGATTATGGTCACGTTCCTCTCCCTGGGGACTGTGAGAAGCCAAGGGCTGCTCAGTGCATTGCTGCAAACTTCCGTCCCCATCTGGAGGGCAGAACGTCTGCCTTTATGTACATTCATCACCCTGAAATTAAGGACTGTTTCCAGCTGGCCTTCCAAACGGAGCGAAGTTGGGTACCAGACTTCCTTGGCATCTTCTGGCAATTGTAGCTAAAATACTTTTGATCTTTTCTCAGATCAACTGATTGATGTCTGCTTCATTTCTTTGAGCAATTGCTTTGAATTATTTGCAGATATTTTTGATCCATTGGTCCAAGTTAAGACAGATAAGCGAGGTTTCTATAGCTATCAGCATATTGGAGATGAAAAGAATTTGGAAGCAGAGAAAGAAAGAACAGAATTGCAACTGCTGAGGAAGGGATGGCAAGATGACACGGTAGCCTGGGAAGGATGAAGTTCCCTCCCTGTCCACTGCATTTCCTCCGCACACAAAGGAGATCGCTCAGACCCTGCGATGTTAGATCCATTGCTGTGTTTTGTGCACGTGCCGGGCTGGCTCGCTCTCACTTTTTAGAGTGCCTAAGCCGATGCAGTGCCTCTAAGCATTAATGAAACTAACCTGTAGTATTAATCTCACATAACGCAGGGCAAGTGCGGCAGGGAGTTGGTAGGGATTTTCCCTCTCCTCTATTTGATTCCGTTTATTTTTTTCCGGGTGAAGCGTTCAGCAATCTCCCAGTTCTTTCTCCCAGCTTCCTTCGCCTCTCCCCTCTCGCTGTATAACACGCAGTAAATCCAAGGAAGGATGCAGTCCCGTCCCAGCCCCCGAACTGCCTATCAGCTTGCCACCCCCAGCCCACAGAGCCACCCCGTCTTCTTGCGGGCACGCGCTCAACAGGTCGCCGAGGGCCTGGGGCCACCCGCCCCGCAGCGCGGCTCGCTGCTGGGATTCCCGTTCGTTTCGTATTTCCCGCAGCGCCGGGCCCGAGGCTGCTGGGCCGGGCGGAGGCTGCCGCGCCGCGGGCGGGGGGCGGGCGGGGGCGGCGCCCATCGGCCCCCGCCTGCCGGGGAGCAGCGGCGGCGGCGGGGCCGGGAGAGCGGCGCGGGGCCGGAGGAGCTGCGGTGCGGTGCGCGGGGCTGGCGGTAAGCGGGTGAGCTCCGCGCATTTGCCGCGGCGGCTGCGCCGCGGAAATCGCTCTGGCTCCATTTTATTCAATAGCTGTAAGGACGGGGGTTCTCTAAGGGGCCGTTCTACTGCGGGGTAGTGGCCTCTCGTTCTGTCTTTTGGTGTAGATGGTCCTCGTTACGTCGTAGTTTTTGCAAGCTGCTGTTTAAGCCTCACTGTTTGCAGGTAAAATAGATCGCGGATGTAGAGAAGTAGGTTTGAGAAGGACTTTCGGTTGCTTGTAAATAGGAATATTTCTCCTTCCGTGGGAGTAGGGAGAAGAACATAAGGTTGCTTTTAAAATGAAAGGGGACGCACACGGGCACGGGTTCTGTGCCCTTCGGACGCGGCACAGAGTGGGGCCAGAGCTCAGACTCTGCGTCGCCTCGTCCCAGGAGAGCCGGGCCAGGATGTATGCATTACGGTTGTTCATTCATCAGCGGCTGCGGATAATGCAATTACCGAGTCAGCAGCGCACGAGTGCTGCCCTGCGTGCTGCGCGCCGCGAGCGGCCCCGGGTACCGCACTCACTGCGCTTGGGGTGAAGCCGGGGCCGCGGTGCGGGGCCGGGAGCGCTGCGTCCCCAGCTGGAGGGGAGGCTGCCGGCTGCTCTAGGCGGCTGCCGTTTGTATTCCGGTTGTATTTGGTGTGCTACTCTGTAGAGGCGTACATGCCAGCTTTAGGTATTGCCGGTGTCTGTGAATGGTGGATGGCTCAGGTGCTAAGAATTTGCAGTAGTTCTAGTCCTGTCACAGATAGGGCTTCGTTTAGCTCTCTTTTTTTTTTTTATTTTTAAATTTTATTTTCAGTACTGGATTCTGCAGCCCCAGTATGGCCACCTCTCTCCTAAGGTGTCTTGGAAAAGAGAGGGGAAGAAAAAAAAAAAAAGAATCACCGGCATGATTGCCATGGACTTTATTTATTTATTAGGCTATTAGAGTAATGAAGAAAAGCTACACATGCCCTGCTGTGCAGATCTCATTTCAGCAAACTGCCTGAGCTCCTGCTGTTACCCGCGTTTGATTTTTAACCAGTGAGTGCCCTGTGCTCGTGTCTGCTCCGGCTATACCTCCAGGCTCTGAGCACAGCCTGGTGAGGGGTCAGCGCAGGGCAGGGGCTGTCCGAGGGGTTTGTGCAGTGCAGGGCGCTCCTCGCTCTTCCTCCCAAAGAACAATGTTTGCCTACTTGTGGGTCCTGCTTCTGTATCCTGCCTAGTGCTGCTGACCGTGCTGCTGTTCCAAGGCAGCGTCTGGTACGTTAGTATTTCATTTTTACAAATTGTGCCACTGAAAGATTGTTTTCTCATGTAGCTGATACTTCTATGCCATAAAAAAGAAGCATTGAAGCAGTGTCTGTCCCAGATCCTTCTCATCCTTCTCCCATCCAGGGAGGCACAGGGAGGACAAGGGGAGGCTCAGCCTGCTCAAGGTTACCCATGGAGCTGCTGCCTCCTCAGCTGGAGGGCTGGACCGTGCTGGGTGTGCTGTGTGTATGCACAGATAGAAAATAGTGGCAATTGGTGCCCCTATTGACTCCTGTTTTTTTTTTTGTGCTTCTCTAGCTCAGTAACTGCATTTATTATCTTAAAATAAGGATAGTACTTTTAAAGGTAAATCTGTTTGATAAAGCTAATATCGTTTGATAATTCCATAAAAAATGGAGATATTTAGGCAGTCAAAACACAGTGACTGCTTTCTTTGCAGTGCGCTGGATTTCTGACAAACATAAACTCATACACACGAGCTTATGCCTAACCTGTCTTCAAGAAGAAAGAAATGGTACCCAATGCAGCATGCACACCTTAAAGACTGACCTGGAGTCAGGAGGGCTGCACTGTGTGTTGCATGTGCCCTTTCTGTTCAATGCACCGGCACTTCAGAGAATGCACATGGAAATGCCCTCCTGAGGAAGGTCGTGTGGTGAGCAGGTCTCTTCTTGTGTTCCCTGTTTGTAGGGGAGGGGAAATATTTGAGGTGGGAGGGAAAAGCACTCTGCAAACACTTTGCAAATGTGGAATTATGGAGCTGATGGCTTTTGTGGAGACTGAACCCAGGGGAAAAGACAGGAACATCGAACCTTCATGTGAGTTACATGTCCTGCTTGTAAGAACACGCTGTGTGTGTGTGTGCTGTGGTGCACACGTGTGCAGGCACTCTGCTCACTGATGGCAGCAGATGTTGGTCACAGCATGTGTTTATTCTGTTGTGTTGCTATATCCAGGGTGCCAATTATTTTATGATATTAATACAAAATGCCGTGTCTTAATGGTATCCTGCAGCAGAGAGCTACACTGGCTAATGATCTGTGCCTGTGTGTTTCACTGGTGCTTTTTCATTTTCCTTGTCCTTCGCTTCGCTAAATGCCTCTTTGTTTGGCCACAGAACAGACCTGATGGAGACCAGAGCCATGCTGTTGATGTTTTTATTAGTTTTGTTTGAGCAAAGTCTGCAGTGTCTTAGTATCTCCTAAGATGAATGGTCATTGCGCTTTCTCTTTTTGCTGAGTCCTTTGCAGTGAGCCAGAGAGGTTCTGTTGGTCAGATCCTAAAGTCTTCAAACCCCTCCATAATCCCATTAACTTCTGTGGAGCTATATCTGAGAATGAGCATTATAGAATTAGGCTGTACAGTATGTGTTGTTTCCGGTGCAAGTGCTACGGCAGGATCAGCACTTTCATTGCTCGGTGTAATTCATGGCGTAGTAGAGCCTGCCCATGGGACTGTGGAAAATGCCTTTAAAAGCAGGCAAGAAGTTTTCAACAGAGAAGCCTTTTTTTGGTGAGAGTTTCTGCTTTGATTTATCCAGCGTTAGGAAATGCCCTGGCAGCAAGGATAATGGCCGGTGTGCTTTGCAAATTGTTTTTAATTCAGGCCTTTGAAGTTCTCTGGCACGGGTGGGTTGTTTTATTCATTGCCCTTATTGTGTAAAGGGATATGCTAGGGCTTTTACTTGATGCTCAAGATTTCTGAAGAGGGACCCTAACAAAATGCTGGTTTTCAACAAAGTTAACTACTCAGAGCTTTCCTTTTCCTTGAGAGACTGGCACTTCATCTGTGTGTCTAATAGGGACTTACCAACCTGACCTTCAGCTTCAGTGTGATCTCACCCTCTGTTCCTGTGCAGAATGAACTGTGATCATCTCCACGCAGGTGTTGGACCGAGCTGGTATTGGGAGAGGGTTCAGGATGTGATGATGCCATGTGTTCACACTCAGCTGAGACAGCGCTCACCCAAGCGTGGCAGCAAAGGCAGAGGTGCCACTGGAGATGCCTTTTGAAGAAGCTATCACACTGATGCCATGCATGCTTGCATTCCTCAGAACTCCACCATTGTTTTTGTGTAAGAGTTGGTCCATGTCAGGCTGCAGCCTGGGTAGCAGTGATGATCACACAGTGAGAGCTTTGCCAACCCAGTGCGGATTGGCCTAGCTCTCCCTGATGTGTATGGGTGCTGAGTGTTGCTATGTGCTGGCTCAGCAATAAATGTTTAAAAACTAGAAGGAATGGTACCTTTATATATGCCTTCTAATGGTCTCACTAAAATGACATGAAGCATAATTAAGTAATTTTGGATCCCTGTGTTACAGATGCCATGGAATGTATTTGTAAAAACAAATAGTATTTGATAAGGGTTATTAGACAGAGGAACTGATTTTGTGGTGTTCTTCTCCAGTGAGACATTTCACGTCTGACGTTAGATGTACAAATGCCTGTATGTCAGTAAGAGTTGTCTTCTCATTCCCTCTTCCTTTATTTTTTACACCTATCCAATGTGTGCAATGTAAAACTGAAGGCTTGGACTTTATACCCGTCCACAGTATGAGGAAACAATCTGGATTGATATTTAAAGAATTCTAGTCCTGTATCCTGTGCACAGTGTCCCTAGCATTATATTGTAGTGCTAAATCTGTTTATCTAGAAACACCAGTATAGCAGGCAACTTTGCTACCATTTTACAGCTAAGGGAAATAAGATGTGGAGAGGTGATGCAATTTCTGCAAGAAATTTTGTATATCTACAAGAAACTGTCTTTTATATCCATTGTAATAATTTATTGATGTTTGCCCTCTTGATAAACAATACAAACTTTGAAGTGAGTAGCCTTATCTTAGAAAGCAAACTCTGGCTAAAATTACTCTTTGTTAGGATGACTGTTGAAGTAATTCCACTTCCTCTTATCCTGAGAACCAAGAGAAAATTACTCAGTGCCATAATGGCTGGGGATTTTCATTGCTTTCATCAAAAAACAAAAAAACAAAAAACAAAAAAACAGGAAACTCAGCAAGCATGCATGAAAGCGTAGTTTGCCTACAGGTAATTCTGTAATCCTAAGGCTATTCTGGTCTTTCAAAGAATCGATTATGTACATAGTATCAGTGAAATATGCCCTAAGACCCTGAGACTGTTGTGGTCTTGAATAAACACTGCAGTACTCGTTCACACGAACAGCAGTAGTTACCTTTTCCTAAAACCAAATGGACGCAGTTGGGATGAAGATGGCTGTGGAAAGGGAGACTCAACAGAACGCCAGTCTGCTTTGCTTTGTTCCTATGTCGGTATCGATCCTAGCATGTAAAGGTCAGAAGCAGCAGTTGTCACTAGGAGTTTTACCATTTCTGCACTTTTCAGAGCCTGCAACATCGCTGTTAGAGAAGTCTCCAGCGGTGCCCGAACAAGGAGGCCAAGCCAAGGCCCTTGCAGTCACATGCCCTTTGCAATCATAGCCATGGCTCTTCCAGGTCACGCAGGGCCAGATCGTCATGTGAGACCCAAGGAGAGGAAGAGGCCAGATTTAAGGACGGTCTGCTTGGAGTTTTGCCCAGCTGTGTCAACAGCAGTAGTGGCGTGAGAGGTAGCCTTAGTCCTTGCTCAGCTCAAGCTTGTGCATTAGAAAGGCTGAAAAACAGCTATAGAAGAGAAGCTGATCAGCTATAGAAGATGCTGGTCAGCATCTTAGCTGATGTGATATCAGATTGTAGC